ATAGCCTAAGCTACTCTATCCCTTTGAGATGTATTTCTTTCTTGTCTCAATAAACATACTTGAACTTGAACTTGCTGTCGTGAAAAGTGAGGTTCTTTTGAAAATCTATGAGACGTGAGAAATGTCGACGACAGTTGGTTTTAATGTGAAGACAGTTAAATGAAAGATTATGAGCGAGTATCTTCATGTGTGTAGGTGTTCTCACCTACCAACAAAAGTAGGTAAGTTCTCACCTAGATGTGCTTACGTGGGGAGTTTTTTGCTCTTAAGCCCAGCATTTCTAGCTTTCGATTGGTTAATATATTTACTCTTCTTATATGTAAATTAGTATGTTTATCTCTATGAAATACAATTCATCTTGTATTTCTACATTGGGATTCCATGCTGGGGGCTGCATAAAGTTGGGTCTCACAAATATTGTATGTTGTATGCCAGAGGTTTCCTTATCTTGGTTCCGAAATGCAATTCGAAAAAATTGCCAGTTTTGCATACCCTATTCAACAGACTTTTTATGCTAGGCTAATTTGCACCTCGTGCGTCAGGGTTGAGGCTATATCGACCTCTTAGCTACTTCTCTGAGACCGTAAGTTGCCACCTCAGGTTTTCTTGCCCCTGCTACTGTCTTCATAAAGAAATAATAATATTTCGTTGTGGTGGGTACAGGCAGACTGTGTGAATATATGTCTTTAAGGTTTATATCAAGGTCCTCTCAAGGTCGAACCTTTTCTAGGATGCAACCCCCACAACAGTTGAAACTCTTGGGCACTTATTTACTCTTAGGTAAACATAGACATTAGGTGAAAGGAAACGTGCCCAGCCATTTCTGCCCTGCCCGTGGATTCCCGACTGACAATCGAGAACGAGCCCAACTGTACTACCAAAACCCTTTTGATTCTCCAGTTACATTCCAGTTGCTGCTTCTCAGACCTTCTTTGAAGTGAATCTTGAACCTCTTAAATTATCTCATGATCAACCAGCCTTAATATCTCATTAACTTTGCATCGTTTTCATACATGAATATAAACATTTCTGTGTTTGTGTCTGATCGTTAACGTTGATTAAAAACAAGTTTCAACACTGACAATATGAACTCTCCAACCCATCCACTTGTTTGGACAGTACTTTTTTATTACTATGTGGTCGATCGTACCAATATGTAGTAATGGAGCCCCAGTAAGCCACTTTTTGTACTTTTTTGTACACAGTCCGGAAAAATAAAGCTAAAACCTAACTTAAATATTCCTAGGTCTAGTATAACACATATATGAACTACATTAGGCCTCAGACAGAATGTATTAGGCCTAGGATGGTTAGGATAGGTTTTATTAGCAACATAAATATACAAAACTTTTTCAGGTTTGTCCAGATTTAGTAATACAAAAGTCTACTTTCTGGTGGTCCATCAACGATATATATTTGTACTATCGACCACATCGTTACTATAAGAACTTTCATTATAGAAGAACGGGCAGCAACACACTCACCTCACTCTGACCCTCTGTTTCTTGCCTGACAGATGCTCCCTTACACCTAGTAACACGAGAACTGACCCAATTATTCATGAATTCCTCTCGAGAAGCACAAGCTGACATTGCAACATCAGCCCGTTGTGTGTGTGTTTGTGGAGAAGAGGAGGAGGAGGAAGCGGCGGAGAAGAGAGAACATGAAAGAGGACGAAAAGAATTCTGAAAAAGACGAAGGGAGCAAAATAGGGAGGAAGAGGGGAGGACGGAGGATAGAGAGAAGGATAAGGAGGAGGAGGAGGAGGAGGAGGGATGTGAGGTGAGAGCCTGGAGGTAGGGCGATGAAGCAGCCCAATATCCGGGTGATAATGGTGTTTACCTGTGATTACCTGCCTCGCTCCCCCGGGAAATGAACTTTCTGCCATCACCCTCCTGCCTTCTTTGCATACACTGCCATCACCCCCTCCTGCCTTCTTTACATACACTGCCATCTCTCCCCTGCCTTCTTGGTTCACACTGCCATCCCCTGCCTTCTCTGTACACACTGTCCCTGCCTCCTTTGGACACTGCACCTTTCCGGAGCATGCTGCTGCTTCTTCAGATGATCCTGGTATACCCAGATGACCCTGATATATCCTGATGACCCTCTAGAATCCCGAATGTCCCTGGTCTCCCTAGATCTAGATGAGCGTGGTATACCGTGATGAGCATGATATTCCGCGATGAGCATGATATTCCGTGATGAGCGTGATATACCCAAATGACCGTGGCATCTGCAGATAATCCTGGTGTCACCTGATGACTCTGGTATCTGTTGGGAAGATATGGCAAGGAGGCCACTTACGAAACCTGTACATCTTTCCTTAATCATGGCGGCTTTGTTTACATTTATTGAACGGATTACGACTTTCGAAGCGTCAGAACCCAAGGTTCTGGGTAAACATAGACAACAAGCAAATTTCTGGGTAAACAAATTTGGGAACAATGCCGCTATGATTCAAGAGAGACGCACAGATTTCGTACATGGGTCATGAATCCTGCCCCACCGTAGGGGCGAGAGGGGAAGTTGTCCTGTATTTTATTTATACTTGACATCCCTCTTCCCGTATCTCTATCTTACCTTAGTTTTGTTAATGTGATTTTTCTCGGTGTGACCTTAATTACTCCCTTTCATCTCGGTTGATTGTTTCCCCCTTTACTCGACTTATCTTCCTTCACGGGCATGAACACAAGTGCAACAACCTAACCCAACCTAACTCAACCTAACCTAACCAAGTCTATCCCAACTCAACCTAACCTAACCTCTGCAGGGCCTAATAATATACATGCGTGTTACGTTAGGCTAAAAATTGCTATTATTTTCCTAGCATTGATAATACAGTATTCGGCCAAGGAGAGGTTAATTTAGATTCTTACATTCTTTGTCATGCCCTTTAAAATAGCAGTAGTAAAACGTCAGGACTTCTTTTGGAAGCCACAGCCCATATTTTGTACACACGGCGCCCACATTCAGTATATGTGCTATTATTTAAGAGTTTGGGTTATTTTTCGCTTTATCGGAGTCGGTTTCGACTCTCTTCCTTTTGATACCCCAATTTTATGTTTCCTTCCCTCCCTTCTCTTTCCCGATCTGTTCTGCTTGCTTCCCTCAGTATTTTTTAGTCTCCGATGGCCATCCTTCCCCACAAGTTGTAGGTCACGTTCCCAGAACCTGGCGGGGTGTGCTCCTGCATATCCATGAGTGGTGGATGTCGTTCGTTGACGAGTGTTTGCAGTGTGGAGGACGGGGGGGCTGGAGGCGTTTGTAGTGTGGACAACGATGGCTGGAGGCGTTTATGCTGTGGAGGATGGTGGTTGGAGGCATTTGTGATATGGAGAGCGGGGGCTGGAGGCGTTTGTGGTGTGGAGGACGGTAGATGGAGGAGTTTGCGGTGTTGAGAACGGTAGTTAGAGGCGTTTGTATTGTGGAATATTTAAGAGATATGTATGGTGTGCGAGACGGAGTGGAGCTTTGCTTCACAACCGGGACACTTCCTCTGGGACCAGCTGGGAGGCGGGTGTTCTCAGTCAAGGTCGTGCTCGGGCCCTTCATACTCTCTCTCTCTCTTTCCTTGTCTCTTTTTTCTACACAGGTGGATACAGGAACAGACAATTGCTGACCTTTCAGCAGGCCGAGAGCTAGCTTTGCCTTCTCATAGCTCATGGTAACCCTTACCTACTACTTTCCCTAGAATACAATCCACTAATCGGTTAAGAACCAGGTTCCCAATCCCTGCTTGATGAACAGAGGCGTACAGTTTGGGATTTTCTCCTAGTCAATCCTTCCCGGCCAGGATAAGAACCTAGGTCCAATTGTATTCTTTGGAGTGCAGACAGATATATTCCATGATACAGGACATACATGCAAAATACTTCTTAAGGTCGGGTTACAAAACTGCACAGTTAAATTACTTCATACTGGAGTAAGAGGGATGGTGTAGAGTAACCCCAAGCACAACTTTTAAGTATAGTTTGAAGACCTAATGCAAACAGCTGCAATATTGGAGGTCCACGACTCTGACCCCCGCAACAGTGAATTATTGTTGGAGCAAGTAAACGCTGAAGCCTTTGATTGACGAAGCAACTCGACAAGTTTGTGCTGGAGGTAACTAATCAGCCTGATGGTGATGGTTATATGGGCCTCGGTGTTCTTAAGACAAACAGCCTCATGATCCCAAACAATCGTCAGGAAAGCCTAGCCTTTAGCCAGGACTGTTGGGGTAGAGTTCTCTAAATCGACTTCTGGTAAAATTCCAATGAAATGGTTCCGTTTAGCTGAATAAAACAGGTTCTTATCTTCTTTTCGTTTAGGCAATATGTTTAATTTTATGAGTGTTTGTAGCTCGTGTACTCGTAATGAGGTGGTTATACTACAACCTCACCAATATATTTCAGTACCGTTTGCCCTAAAAGGTATTTAACGACAAAAGGTAAATAACACAGCACCATTGCTATGTTATTTAGATTCAATTATAATGTTGGAAATATATTTTAGCCCCCTACGCTCCATCTAGCCCAACCTGTAATAGCCTATCCTAATGAAATCAAACCTAACCTAACTAGCCTAGCCTAACCTATCCTAATATAATCAAACCTATTATAACCTAATTAAACCTATTCCATTCTAATCCAAACCTCACCTAAGAAGCCATGATTCCTCAATACTAGTTGAAAATACAATTATTTTCTGATGGCTTGTGCGTGTGTGTTGGTAGTCACAAGCACTTTATTATAATAATGGAGAATTTAATTTCTCACGGTTGTCCGTTTTGTCCCATATTACTGTGTTTTAGGTATTGTAAACAATCATAAAGAATAAAACTTGTACATCACAATTTTGTGTATTGCCATTTATAATAATGTAATTTGACTGCTGTCAATCTTAACATTTAACTAGGAGTATTTTGCATTACTGCCTTTAATGTATTTTTTACTTAACCTTTATTTGAATTGTGCCATTTTATTGTGGCCTATTTTTCAGAGACGCATACAGTGTGGAATGAGCGACTGCAGGAGTGTGGAGTGAGGGAGTGAGCGACTGCAGGAGTGTGGAGTGAGGGAGTGATGGGCGTCGAGGGTTTCACTACAACAACCAGAGTTGATATGATCCTCGCTGATCACTGCGGCGTCGTCACTGCCCTCTGCCTCCTAGTGGCTGCAGGGATGAGCTGACAGAACACTGTACACTCTCTGGGGCTCACAGAGCACCGTGCACTCTCTGGGCTCTCACATACCACTGTCTGTGGCTGCTGCATACCTCAAGTAGGATGATGTGAGAGCGAGGCCAGAAGCCATCTGCGAGGGGGCAGATGATCGGAGCGACATGTCGTTCATGGGTAGTGGAGACAGCCAGCGGTCGTGCGCCTGTACCTGCGACGACGACTGCTGCGACAGGTCGTTCTCTCCGGCATCCTCTCCCCCAGGGGTCGAATCTTCTTCAGGATGCCCTTCATCATCGGACTTCGTGCCTTCTGACCCGATCTTCGAGACTGCGTCGCCAGGCGGAGACATACGTTCAACAAAGCCTCGTACTGTAGCCAGACGCGGTTGGGAAACCCCACCGCCACCTCTGCCGGAGAGACGCAAGACCCAAATTCCCCCTGCCATACACAGGCGGGTAAAGATGCCTCAAGCAGACGACCCTGGCGGCAATGTCTCTCCACGGATAATGACATCATCAGGATGTCCATCTCCATCAGAGAGGTGTTGGTGGGAGCACCAACCACTGTCGCCCACGACCTGTGCTCCAGTCTACTGGGAACAACAGCAGCAGCAGCATGCGGGTGGGGATCACATGACCTCTCCTGACTCTGGTGGGTCGGAGGAAATGGAGCAGATGAAGGCTCTCTTCAACGCCTGCGACACTGATGGCGACGGCTATATCACCAGGTGAGTCTTTGTTGACACTTGCGGGTTGGGATTTAGAAATTGTTACGATACTCATATAAGAAATTCACAATTTTACTTGTCTGAAGGCCATTTCTTGGATTGAGGACTGTCTCGATAGGCTGTAGTCTTTTTTATTTGATCTATCATGTGATCTCATCTGTTTTAATCAAATGCTAAATTAACTGGACAGTAGCGACCAGGTTGCAGGCAATACTTTGCTAATTCAAGATGTCTAGTTTTTTAACCTCCTCAACAAACAACAATTGATGGTAGCTGGTCTCGACACAGTCTGTGTTTCCTCGTCGAATGTAAAGTTCCGCTAAACATTCCGCCACTGAATGAGAGGGATACATAACGTACTATATAATTTAATGTGTCTCGTTTTCTGTTAAGTTAGAATATGGGCACTTTTAGTACGACAGTTTCCTGACGTTGGGAAACCTTAGGAGGACGGTCTGTTTTGATAACGATGGTGGGCCATAATAACTATATTATTATATATGTTTATTATTATTAATCGCGCCCAAGATGTCCATCTAGCCTGTCCTCCTAAAGTTTCCAAACGTTAAGACACTCGTATTAAAGTGCCTTATCCTAATCTACCATAGGACCCAAAACAGAAAACGGAACAGTATGTCAGTTTCGTCCTTCCTGGCTACGTGTTGGTAATTATAACCCTTGTTACACTCCTTAATCTTTACTACCAGAATCTTTACCTACCATAGAAGTTTATTGCAGTTATCGTCCTTAAGCCATCGTTAGGCTACCGCGTAGTCAAAGCATATGAGAGTTTAGTCGCCTCAAACAACGCAGACATAGCAGTATTTATTTTATTTCTTTATTATTTATATATATATATATACAAGAAGGTACATTGGGATTGTGAGGATACATAGAATAGTAATTACAATCTTGCAAAGCCACTAAGAATAAAAGAATGTAAGCTGCTAACCTCACACTCACTAGGATCGCTGTATGTTCCCATTCCTGGAAAGTGGGGTATTTGAATGCCGCCACAGTGGCCCTTGAAGAGTCCCAGAGTGCTTGTATGTGAGGGAGTCGAGACCCGCGCCACAGCCCGTGCTGCACTGTGTCGCAGAGTACCTTGTAGCGTTACCGGTCTCCTGGGGGTTGACAACGGCAATCCCGTCCTCTCAACATTTTTTTCGTTGAATTTTTTTTTGCCTTTTCCTAACCAACGCAACGCATTAAGGAAAGTAATGGCTTACAAATATCTGTTTATTTTTTGGCATCGGACTCTATATGTTAAGATGGGTTGCTTGGATTCGCAGGTTTTTAGTTTTATTAGGATAGAAGGTTGAATTTAGGCTGAGACTATTCTATGACATGCTGGGGGGGGGATGGGTTGTTAGAGGGGTACGGACCACTGTCTGGTCGGATAATTGGTTAAGTAATAATTGTAATTACGAGGCAATAAGATGCTTATCTTAACATACTAAGAAGATTAGGTAAGGTCGGTGTTTTCTATGAAGCTTTTCAAGGTAAACTAAAATATTCACAATAAATTAGTTTGTCATATATGCACTTATTTAGTAAGTCAATATTGACTGTACGAAAGTGCGAGAACGGGTTGTTGGTCGGATGCCATCCACACGCCCCCTCGTTAAGACATCCTAGATAAAATCTTGAAGAGGTTGCATGGCAGCTCAGAACATCTGGCATATGATAGTATGTCAACCTTTATTGTTATAAGGCTGGGACGAGGTGGGGGGGACAGGGGTTGAATGCTGGGTTAGAGGTAAGGGCGAGAAGGGTGGAACAGTGTTTGAGGGCTGGATGACGGATGAGGACGAGATGGGCCGGAATAGCGCTTGAGGGCTGGATGAGTATGAGGGGTGAGGGATTGAGAAGGACGAACGAGGGTGCTGGACGTGGGAGGAGGAGGCTGATGAAGGGGAGCTAGAGAAGAGTTGAAGGGGAAGATTTGAGTAAGAAGAGGGGGACTTAGGAGGGGCGGGGGCGGGGGCAAGCTAGTGGAGGTGCATGATGATTTAAGAGGGGTGAGAGGAGCTAGAGGAGGTGTGATGAGACTGGAGGTTGTCCGATGAGAGAGAGAGAGAGAGAGAGAGAGAGAGAGAGAGAGAGAGAGAGAGAGAGAACGAGAACGAGAACGAACGAAAGAGAGAGAGAACGAGAACGAAAGAGTGAGAGAACGAGAACGAAAGAGTGAGAGAACGAGAACGAAAGAGTGAGAGAACGAGAACGAAAGAGTGAGAGAACGAGAACGAAAGAGTGAGAGAACGAGAACGAAAGAGTGAGAGAACGAGAACGAAAGAGTGAGAGAACGAGAACGAAAGAGTGCGAGAACGAAAGAGTGAGAGAACGAGAACGAACGAACTAATTTAGAATTAGTTCTCATAACTGCCAAAGAACTGAGAGTTAACTCAGCGGCGACTTAACACTGCGCTGTTTACCCTAACCGGTGTCAGTACCTGGTAAATTGCACAGTTTACCCTAACCCGTTTCAGTGTTATGATACTTGGCGCTGTTAACTGGACGCAGTTTCATCACATGGACCAAGGCATAAATCCCTATATTAAAAATAATATTACTATTTCTGTATTACTTTATTCCGTATATTGATGGAACTTATTGTCTTTCAACCGTCCAAGACCCGGGTAGGTCGGGTCGTCTAGTCTTTGATTTTCTTTTATTGAAACGTGTTCATAGGCTTTTATCATGATCCCACCCCCTGCTAGTTCGACTCCTCCCCCCCAGGATGGAACCCACAACAGTTGCCTAACTCCTGGGTACCTATATTCTGTTAGGTCAACAGAGGCATTAGGACCAAACTCTCACAAGTCAAGCCTGGCCTCGGGCCGGGCTCGGGGAGTAGAAGAACTCCCAGAACCCCATCAACCAGGTGAAATGAAACGTGCCCAACCATTTGTGCCTATCCTGGGGAATCGATCCCACGATTCAGAATGTGGGTTGAGGACGTAGACCAATGTACTACAGGACCGCCATGCACCTTACAAGTGCTATATAGTCATAGTGACAGCCTGGTCGCCTGAAACCTAGCCTAGTCCCGACACTGGCCAGCACCTGTTACTTTCTAGAATTTCAGATGATCTCAGTCTTAGTGGTGGCGTAGTCTCGAATCAACACGTGCTGAACACTGCCATCTGTCGACGACTATAGCTTCTCGTGCTGATGGTACCTGGATTGTACCTGGACGGGGTTCTCGGAGTTCTTCTACTCCCCAATCCTGGCCCGGGGCCCAGGTTTGACTTGAGAGAGCTTGGTTCAACAGGCTGTTGCTTGGAGCGGCCCGCAGGCCCATGATGCCGCCAACCGGGTTCTTGCCCCTGCTTATCTTACACATGATAAGGGAAAGGGAGATTTCCAGATAAAGGAACAGGGAAATCAGTGTCAGAATAGTTAGCAATTTGAATGCATTAGGCAGTGATGTGGTGGAGGTTGACTCCATACGCAGTTTCAAATGTAGATATGATAGAGCCCAGTAGGTTCAGCAATCTGTACACCAGTTGACTGACAGTTGAGAGGCGGGACCAAAGAGCTAAAGCTCAACCCCAGCAAACACAACTAGGTGAGTAACTAGGTGAGTACATGCAAGCAAAATTCTCCACGCGCTTGAAGATAAGACCGATATATGAATATTTCAGGACAACAAGCTGTCCTGTTGTGCTAAGGAAAACGGGATTATTACAATGGCTTTGAAGGTGAACGGCCTTACCTCCTTCGGTTATCGACTTTTGGTCTTTGAAACCTCACATTCGGCGGACTGACTTGATTATTCGTATTCTGAATGGGGAAAAAAGCCTTGAAGTCCAAAGAGCAGGGAAATCTAAATATCTATGATTAATATTATAGATTTTATTGTGTAGCATGAATGATCACTGACGTCACGGTATGAGGGAGAGACTGCGCAACTGGAAGGTTATCTGTGACCGATATTGTGGATTAGTTTTTAGATAACATGCCTTTTGGAACGCATCCGTGCATCTTTCCTCTTCTTCACTTCGGAGGGAAGTTGAAAATTTAACTCCAGAGTTCAGTTTGCAATTTCATTGGGCCTGACGCGTCTGGTTTTGTTGAAGCTCAGAACATCTTCAATGTTGTGAGCAATAAAGTCAATAGAGATTACCCAGTCGATGTCGGTTTGGACAGCAGGTGTTGTGTTAGCCTTGAGGGTGTCCGGACACACGTCAGTGTAGGCTCGCTTTTGACATTTGGATGAGTGTTAGGTGTGTGGTGATATGTCGAATGTTCTATTGTCGTATCTCTTGATTATGTGTGGGGCTCCTAGTCAGGACATCTCTGGTGATGGTTTGATTGCATATAGAAAACGATGGGATCTTTGATAGCGCCTCCAGCCATGAGGCCTGGTAAGAGACCGATTCCTCGGGGACGTTGATCCTCAGAACCAACGCGAGGTAACCGCAAGGTAAGGTTCTTTGGTGTTGTCTAAACTAGATTATGTTTGTTGCATGTATTGGTTAGGTTCAGCCTCGATCCTTCATCGTCCTGGCGCTTTGCCTGTACAAGCATGTGTACGCCCCAGACGCTCTGGGGCGTCTCGTTCTTTGCCAGTCTGGAGATTCCATGTTGAAACCGGTGATCATTAGCAGACTGCCTGGGTGGTATTGTCTTGGATACTTGGCAGGGCCCCTCCAGTGTCGCCACTCCCGGCTGCGTCACAATTTAACCTGTTCCGTCGTCTCGTGCGTGCTCGGTTTGGCAATCTTTTTACTATGAGAATGGTACGCTTTCATAGGGGGTCGTCCTCCATAAGTGTGTTTTTTCCTCATCTGGTGCCTACTTTACCTCCCATGCAAAAGTCCAGATCGTTAAATTTTGTCAAGTCCTAATTCATAGAGTAAATATCCTTTACCCTCCACTGTCCTGAAGTGCCTGGAACATTTCCACCAACACTGGGACTCCTAAACTCTTTCACGGACGGGACGAGATCCTCTTATGGAGTTGGCATCTTTGCTATTGTCCCTAATACAACTTTT